GGGGACATTGGGGACATTGAGGGGATTGGGGACATTGGGGGGATTGGGGGGATTGGGGACATTGAGGGGATTGGGGACATCAGGGATTTTGGGGCTATTTTGGGACACATTTGGGGACACATTTGGGGCCATTTGGAGCCACATTTGGGGCCACATTTGGGGCCATTTGGGGCCACATTTGGGGCCACATTTGGGGCCATTTGGGGCCACATTTGGGGCCACATTTGGGGCCATTTGGGGACACATTTGGGGACGCATTCGGGACACATTTTGAGGCCATTTTAGGCCACGTTTGGGACCATTTTAGGCCCATTTTAGGGCCCATTTTGGGGACGTTGGCGGCCATTTTGAGGCGGCCATTTTGTGACACCCTCAGGACCCTGCGGCCATTTTGTCTCCATTTTGGGGCCATTTTGGGCCATTTTGGAGCCATTTTGGGCCATTTGGGGCCATTTTGGAGCCATTTTGGGCCATTTGGGGCCCTTTTGGAGCCATTTTGGGCCATTTTGGGCCATTTTGGGACATTTTGGAGCCATTTTGGGACATTTTGGGACATTTTGGGGACATTTTGGGACATTTTGGGCCACATTTGGCACCATTTTGGCTCCATTTTTGGCACCATTTTGGAGCCATCTTTGACGCCATTTTGGAGCCATTTTGGGCCATTTGGGGCCCTTTTGGAGCCATTTTGGGCCATTTTGGGCCATTTTGGGCCATTTTGGGCCATTTTGGGACATTTTGGAGCCATTTTGGGACATTTTGGGACATTTTGGGGACATTTTGGGACATTTTGGGACATTTTGGCACCATTTTGGCTCCATTTTTGGCACCATTTTGGAGCCATCTTTGACGCCATTTTGGAGCCATTTTGGGGCCACATTTGGGGCCATTTTGGAGCCATTTTGGGATATTTTGGGCCATTTTGGGGCCATTTTGGGCCATTTTTGGCCCCATTTTGGAGCCATCTTTGACGCCATTTTGGAGCCATTTTGGGCCATTTTGGGCCACATTTGGCACCATTTTGGCTCCATTTTTTACACCATTTTGTCTCCATTTTGGGCACCATTTGGGGGCCATTTTGGAGCCATTTTGGGCCACATTTTTGTTCCATTTTTGACACCATTTTGGAGCCATTTGGGGCCACGTTTGTGGCACCATTTTGGCACCATTTTGGGGCCTTTTTTAGGCACCATTTTGGGCCATTTTGGAGCCATTTTTGACCCCATTTTGGAGCTGTTTTGGGCCATTTTGGAGCCATTTTGGGGCCACATTTTGGGGCCATTTTGGCACCATTTTGGTTCCATTTTTGACACCATTTTGGAGCCGTTTTGGGCCACATTTGTGGCACCATTTTGGCTCCATTTTGGCACCATTTTGGAGCCATTTTGGACCCATTCTGGGACCATTTTGGAGCCATTTTTTGGGGGATTTTTTGCCACATTTGTGGCACCATTTTGGCTCCATTTTGGCACCATTTTGGAGCCATTTTGGAGCCATTTTGGACCCATTCTGGGACCATTCTGGGGCCATTTTGGGGCCATTTTTGACGCCATTTTGGAGCCGTTTTGGGCCACATTTGGCTCCATTTTGACCCCATTTTTGTCCCCATTCTGAGTCAAACCCTTTTCGTCCCCAGCTCCCCCGCAGCTGCGCATCGTCCCCGAGCGCTCGGGCGCCGCGCTGACGCTGGCGTGTCACGCCTGGGGCTTCTCCCCGCCCGACATCACCCTGAGGTGGCTCCGCAACGGCGCCGTGGTCGAGGAGCCGCGGGGGCCGCCCCGGGCGCTGCCGCTGGGCGACGGAACCTTCCGGGCCCAGGTGAACGTCGAGGTGACGCCGGGGACGGCCGGGGACACCTTCGAGTGCTGGGCGCTGCACCCCAGCCTGGAGGAGCCCGTCAGCGTCACGTGGGGTGAGGGGAATTTGGGGGGTTTTTTTTGGGATTTTGGGGGATGTTTTTGGGGATTTTTGGGGGATTTTTTTGGGATTTTTTTGGGGATTTTTGGGGATTTTTTTGGGATTTTTGGGGG